CGAAGGGTGCTTCTACCTAGAACTTACAGTGCTGGGCAGTGCAGAAAAGTGGTTTCTGAGGCCAATTTACAAGGTCAGCCTAGTCCAGAATAGAATGATATTAGACACAGTGGTTTAACTTATTACTGTTACAGTGTTCACCAACTGTTAGAGGGGTTGTTTGGACTCAGAAGGTTCAGGACAGTTTAGTGTTCAGTGCCCTGGCAACTTAAACAGTTTCTGTAGTCATCCAGGGACGGAATAGGTGAGTTTAGGAGTTGATAAGAATAAATGGTTATAGAAACCGAGCATGGTGATCCACGCCTGTAATACCAGCTAATCAGGAAGAGGACAACAAGTTCAAGGTCAGCATGGACAACTCAGACCCTGTCTCAAGAAGAATTTTTGTTTTGTTTTGCTTTTTGAAACAGGGTCCTAACCACATACATAGCCCACTCACAGAGATCCTCCTGCTTCAGCCTCCAAAGTGCTGGGATTACAGGCGTGCACCACACCCGGGCCCTTTCTCAGAATTTTCAAAGGACTGGGGATATAGGTCAGTGCTAGAGTAAGCATATGTGAGGTCCTGGGTTCAGTCCCCAATATCGTATGCACATGCATGTGCACACACGTATACCCACAAGTGACTCAAGACCAGAATAAGCACGCACAAGACCAGAACAAGTCTTTTATGACTTTAACCAGGGTCTCCAAAGAGAGAGCAAAGGATACAGCCCCTCCAAGGTCCTGATCACTCTGACCATGGAAAGTAGGGTATAACCCACATTTTTATCTGGTCATATTCTTGAGAGTACCAGCTTTTGGTTGGCCACCTGGACACCAGGGCACAGCGGACAAGTTGAAATGTCACCATGGTGGGAGCAAAGAAAGAAACAAAAGCTGACCATGGTGGGCTGGCGGGTTGAAAAGGATTGCTAACAAATGGGTACCCCAAAAAGGTTGAGCAGAAGTCTAATTCAGGGGCCTGGGGTTTAGCTCAGCAGCACAAGAACCTACCTGGCAAGTGTGAGGTCATGAATTTGATTCCTGGTACTAAAAAAAAAGTCTGTAATTCAAACAGGCCAAGCATGAGGGTGCATCCCATAATCCCAACACTTGGGAGGCAGAGGCAGGAGGATTTGGGAGTTTCAGGCCAGCCTGGGTTATGTAGTGAGTTCAAGGCCAGCCTAATTGGCATAGTGAGACCCTGTCTCAAAAACAAACAAAAAATTCAGACCAAATAATCAAACCAGTTCTTACAGATGTTTCTGTCCTAAGTTAAAAGAATCTATTGAAGTCAGGAATTTATGGTGGGTTTTGAGGACTTCAGCTCTGCTTTAACTCTGATCTTTGTTCAAATAGGTGTGGCCTTATTTTACCTATTTCTGGGTGTTTTCATTTCGAAGACAGGTAAGGTTTATGCCTCCAACGGACTGAGACTCAGATAACAGGCTAGCATGGCTTTAAAAAAAAAATCTAGCTGTGAAGTTAAAACAAATTGAATGGTTTTTTTTTTTTTTTCTTTTTTCTGTTTTGGTCTTTTTCGTTTTTATCGGTACCAGGGATCGAACTCAGGACTGCCTGCTTGCAAGGCAGGCGCTTATGCCGCTGAGCTAAATCCCCAGCCCCAATTGAGTGGTTTTGTTTTTGTTTTTGTTTTTATTTTTTTGAGACAGGGTCTCCCTATGCAGTTCAGGCTTGCCTTTCAGCTCACTTTGTAGCCCAGGCTGGTCTCAAACTTGAAACAATCCTCCTGCCTCAGCCTCCTGAGTGCTGGGATTACAGGCTTGAGCCACCATGCCTGGCCAAATTGAGTGTTTTTAAGGATTTTAATTTACTCTAACTCTGACTGCTGTTCTTTAATCTTGTTAAAGGCCCTTATTGTATTTATCTAGGTTTGGAATGAAAATCTCAAAAAGAAAAAATAATAACTTCAAATTGCCAGTTTATTTATTTCAAAATGATTCAAACCCATGAACCAGCATAAAAACTCCAGAGTCATTGTATGAAGACCTGGTTCACAGAGAAGGTTTCTCCTGCCAGTCTGACTTTGGAAAGAAAGGAACAAAAAGCATGTTAACCTGCTGCAATCATTTGGATATGGTTTTCTTCCTGAGGTCCAGGGTGTTGTGCTCTTCCCAGGGATTCTTTCCTGGGCCTTGTCATCTGAAACAAAGAATTGGACAAGAACCTGGTGGGGATTTAGCTCAGTGGCATAAGCTCCTACCTGGCAAGTGTGAGGTTGTGAGTTCAATCCCTGGTACTGCAAAAAAAGAAGAATTGGACAAGAAATGCACGTAAGCTCAGCTTTATACCTTATTAAGTAAGAAAGGAAATGTGCCGTACAGTGAGTGCAAGCCGGTTAAAGGCTGGGAAGAAAGCGTGCTCTGCAGGTGCAACGTGGGCCAATGAAAGGGCTTACAGAGGCCACACGGTTAAGGGTGACTTTTGTATCCTCAACTCCAACGTCAGATCTATACCATCCTATCAAATACCCGCTTGAGATGTCTTGTCCTCCAGGTGAATGATTTGGAGATGACAAATGTACAATGTACGTAAGGTTGCCCCCTCAGCACTGGGGAAGCTGAGGCAGGAGAATCATGGTGAGTTTGAGACCAGCCTGGGCTACAAAGTGAGCTCAAGGTCAGTGCGAACTGCATAGTGACACCCTGCCTCAAAGAGACAAAAAAAAAAAAAAAAAAAAAAAAAAAAAAGGAAAACTTTTCTCTGAAATAAAATGAATTTAAAAAAAAAAAAAAAACCTCTTGATTTTTGCCCCAGAATTGAAGCCCCATTCTGATTGGTCTCAGGTGTGCAGGGCTTGGGAGTTGTTCTACATGCGCTGTGGAAGCCTGTGATTGACAGGTCGTGCCCTTTTGTCCAGCTGGCTGACCATGCCCTAATCTCCTGCCTCAGTTCAATGTGTCCCCTCAAAGTGCCCATATTGGATGCCTGGAGCCCAGTGTGATGGTTTTGCGGTGATGGAACCTGTACAAGCTGGGACCTACTGGGGTAACTGCTGTCTTCAAAGGATTGGTGCAGTTTTTGTTTCTATTGATTTATTTTTCTTTGCAGGTCTGGAGCTGGAAGTCAGGGCCAGGTCGGGGTGGTTAGGCAAGCGCTGTACGGGTACAGAGACACTGCGTCCCCGCCCCACCAGAAACTGGCAACACACTTTGAGTCTTTGTGTCTCTGACAAAAGATTTCAGACAAGACACATAGGTCACTGTAATTAAGAGTACAGGTAGTTTATTGCAAAATAAGAGATTTTTTGAGAGAATAAAGACACCTGAAGCATGAAGCCAGGCACTGCCAGGATGGCTGTTGGGCTGAGGAGGACTCAGGTGACCTGGACAGGTCAGTGGGTCTTTCTGTCCTCTGAGGTCACTGTTCACTTGTTCAGATAGAATGGGCTGTGTTTACCCACTTCAGAGAGAAGAGGTCTCAGCGGCTCCTTAGGTGACTGTCTCTGGTTGGAGACCCGGAGAGTGTCTAACCTCCCACTCATCCTCTGGACTTTGTGTGGCCATGGGCCTAATTATTAGCAGCTCCGAAGATGTTACATAATCTTGAAGTTTGAAACCACAGACCTGAGCAGATTTATCTAATGATTAGATAAATGCTAATGATTAATGATTAGATGAAAGCTACTGATTAAAAGTGAAGGGAGGGGGGGAATCACCTCATTTGCTTTACCAGCCATCTGTGTTCAGCCTGTTAATGACTAACTTTTTACCTAACAAACTCTGCCACTGAGCTGTACCTACTGGGCTGATGTAGTTTTTACAGGCAGTTGCTGTGAGAAGAGTTTTTTATAAAAGACAGTGAACCTGGGTTGGGGACATGGTGGCACACACCTGTAATCCTAGCGCTCTGGGAGTCTGAGGCAGAAGGGTCTCAAGGTCCAGCCCAACCTGGGCAACTTAGCAAGACCCTGACTCAAGGGCTAGGGAGGTAGCTCAGTGTGAAGGCCCCTGGCTCTATCCTCAGTACCGCCAAGCCAAAAATAATGCCAGGCATGGTGGGGGACGTCTGTAATCTCAATGCTCAGGAGACTGAGGCAGGAGGACTGCTGTGAGTTTGTTTGAGACCAGTCTGAACTACACTGCAAGACCTCATCTCAAAACACAAAGCAAAACACCAGATAAAACACTCGAGGTTAAGTAAAACTCTGAGTCAACTAGAAACAGCAGAGAACGTCTAATCTGTTAAAAAATAGACCCCAAAATTCACAACAAACGCATTTAAGGGAAACCTTTGAAGCATCCCTTTAAAATAAGGAAGGAGACCGGACAGTTGCTTAGTGTCACTTTCAACATTTCCCTGGAGGTGGCAGGAAACCTAGAACCAACAGCAAAAATGGAACTAAACTTTTGGTTTTGTTTTGCAAATTAAGTGACTATGAAAACTAAATGATTTTGGTTTTTGAGACTTGGCCTTGCTATGTGGTTTAGGCTGGGCTTGACCATGGCATCTGGCCTTAAATTCACCACGTAGCCCAGGCTGATCTTGGATTTGTAGCGATCCTCTTGCCTCAGCCTCCCCAGTGCTGAAATACCAGGCACGCACCACCACACCCAGAGGAGATGTGGATTTTTATATCCAATGTTACAGATGGGGCGTGTTGACATCAAAACATTTGTCTTTTCTCAGTAAATCTAAAGATTCAATATAAATTCACTACAAACACTAACAGGCTTTTTCCTGGGACCTGATGACCTATATATTTATTACAAAGAAAAGTAAAGGAGTAAGAGAAGTCAGAGTGATTTAGACGAACAAGAAGAGTGGGGCCCCAGCTGCAAGGTTTCAAGGCCCCAGAACAGGGATACACACACCACAAGCTGGAGGAAAATGGAGCGGTCAGGAGACCCCGGCTGTGACAGCATGTGACCCATGGGGAAGCTGCAGGGCAGTGACTGAGAATCAAAACGAAACACAACTGGGTCTCCGGTTGAGAAACCAAGAATAAGAACAACAAGGGGGAGCATCCTAAGTCACAGAAAGCACAGATTACAAAGTCAGAGTTATAATATTTTACATTTTTATTTTTACATTAAAAATAAAATTATTCTTTAAAAATAAACTTTTTAAATACTTTTGAAAAACATCTAGTAATTCAGAGGTACATCCTTAAATATTTAGGAGAACATAATGCCTTAGATTTGCTTCCAAGTGATGTGGGAGATGGGCTGGGTCGTAGCTCAGGGGCAGAGCACCTGCCTGTGAAACGGGGAGGCCCAGGATTAAGGTTAGGGTTAGGGTTAGGCCCCGGGTTTATTCCCCAGCACTGCCAAAACAGAGCTAGCCATGTGTTAATTGTTGAAACTTTGAACCCTTCCTTTTACATGTGGTTTTATAAAAACTTGTGGGAGAGAACCCCAGTGACTCCCCTTGAATGCAAAACAATTATTGTGACTGTGATTATTTGGGAGCTTATTTTTTATACTGATATGTATAAAGATGGCTATTGTATTTTTTTTTTAAATTGGCTTTAAGTATTGTAAATGGCGCTAGCCAAGGTGTTGGTATGTAATCTCTGAAGCTGACAGTTCTGTTTCCTGGCATAGTGTTCTCGTACAGGAGATGAGCACAGAGAGATGTTAGGGCCAGTCAGCTCCAAAAATGTCAACTGGGTAAGAGCCTCAAGATAAAAAGGCTATGACTCCCCAGGGCACAAGAGTTTACATATCAAAAACTAAGGGGACAGCCTCCCAAAACAATTCAGTTGCTAGCAGCCTTAATTAAATTATGCAAATTGATCCTTCTGCATATTTTTATCTCTGTATTTTGCAAAGATATTTTTCTCCCTACCTGGCCAGCCAGTTCAAGTTACTCAAGTAGTTCCCGCCATCTTCACTGTCACTCATCCCTGGGCCACCCCCCTTTCTTTACAAGATGATAAATTGTGGGAGAGGCCTAGGATCAGGGCCTTGTCCGCACGTCCTCATGGGGATTGGACTTAGGACCCCTGGCTGCCCTTAATTTGGAATATGTCTTGGTGTCTATACTCTCACCGTGGGTTGCACTGGAGGTGGTAGATTAAAATTAATTTGTTGGGATTCCAATGACGTCTCAGTGGGATTACAAATATAACCTTTTGGGTTGTGAAGAAAACTAAAAACAGGATTACAATACATAAATGACTATACACAGTATTTGGGTTTACAATAAAACTGTACATAGAGTTTTTGAGTTTTAAACAGGTAAGAAAACATACGATGAAGTTTTCACCCACCGATTAGCAGCCCTTTAAACATCTGATAGTCTGAAGTGTAGGCAATGATACAGAAAGCGGGAAGTCTGTATGCGATTGACAGGAGCACAGATTGGCTCGACCAACTTGGAAGTGACTTTGCCATCATTAGTAGTCGAAAATCTGTATTCTGCACTACCTGACTGCTCTTTCCCTAGGCTAAATCCTATAAAATCTCTCCCCCCCACAACTGTCCTGGTGACTGAACCTGGAGCCTTTGTAGTGAGTTAAACCCCCAGGCTTTTTATATTTTATTCTGAGACAGGGTCTCACTGTGTTACCAAATTGCCCAGGCTGGGGTCCTGCTTGTGATACCCCCTCCCCCCTGTGTCAGCTCCTCAGAGCCTGGGACACAGGTGTCAGGTGTGCACCACCACACCTGGCTGAAAACCTTGCTCATGGAAACGTACAGAAACATTCACGGTCTCGCTGGTTTTGCTTGTTTTTCCTTCTTGTCTTTTTCTGTTCGCTTTTTTCATGGTATTGGGGATTGCATTGATCTAGGGACTACTGAGTTACACCCCCACCCTTCCCAATTTTTTTCAGATTTTGAGAGAGGGTCTTGTTAAACTGCCCATGTTAGCTTCAAGCATGTGATCCTCCTGCCTCAGCCTTCCCAGTAGCTGGAATCACAGGTGCCCACCACCATGTCTGGCTAGCTCCTTGGTTCTTCGTTTAGTGAGGCAGGGTCCTGCTATGTAGTTTAGGCTAGTTTTGAAGTCACTGTATAACCTAGCGTAGCCTCACACTCACATCACAGTGATCCTCCTGCCTCAGCCTCCCAAGTGCTGGGATGACAGGTGTGCAGTACCACGCCCAGCCAGTCTCCTTGCTTTTAACAGCAAAAACCACCAAGTACACATTTGCAGGATATGTAATTAAACAGTGGTATGTTTACATGAGGAAAGGCAGGAGTTACCTGGAGTGACAACGCTGTCTACACCTCACAACGTGTCTACACCTCACAAATCCACAGAATACACACATTCCAGTGATTTTGTATAAAATGTAAAATGACCAACATGTTGGCAGGGATACAAAAATACAGTAACTTTATACAGAAATGCTAGGAACTAAGTTCAAATTCAAAACAGTGATTTTTTGTGGTGTGGGAAGCACAAGACTGGAATGCAGGGAACAAAGAAGCACCTCAGAGAGGATGAGGGTTTGTTTGTATTTTCCCAGTATGGGGCACTGAGCCCAGGACCTTTGCTATATCCCCAGCCCCCCTTTTTTTGGTAACAGAGATCAAACTCATGACCTCACACTGGCCAGGCAGGCACTTATGCTGCTAAATATATAAATATAATTTTTTTTAAAAGACAGGATACCAAAACAAAAAGTAGACAGGGTCTCACTATGTAGTCCAGGCTGGCTCAAACTCACAGAGCTCCTCCTGCCTCAGCCTCCCAAGTGCTGGGATTACAGGAATATGCCATGTGCCTGGTTCTTTCTTTACTTTTGAGGCAGAGTCTTGTTAAACTGCCAAGTTGCCCAGGCTGGGCTTGAACTTGCACACCTCTTCCCTCAGCATCTCCGAGTGCTGGAATTTAAGATGTGTGGACCATCATTCCCAGCTTTTAGTTATAATTTTGTTTTTGTTTTTGAGCCAGGGTGTTGCTGTGTAGCCCAGGCTGGCCTACAATTTCTGGGATTACAGGTGTGCACCTCCCAAATGTTGGGATTCCAGGCGTGCACCTCCACATCCAGCATCATTTATTGGGGGGGGGGGTAAGGAAGGAATGTGACGGGGAAAGTGAGAGAAGAGGCATAAAAGAGACAAACTCAGCGCAACAACAAACTTACTGAGCACAGGGGCAGGAAACCCAGCTGTCCTTCAAAGAGCACAGGCTTCTCCCAGAAGAAAATTGCTGATTCCTCTCAGTTCAAAGGTGGAGACAGCTTTGGTCAATGCCCTGGCTCTCACCAGACCTGCCCTGAGGCCCTGGGCTGTCAAGGGTCAGTGGGGCTCTGAGCCAGGCCAAGGGGCTGAGGCCCAAACCCCAGCTTCCTTCTCTCCACCTGCTTCCTCCCCTTTCCGGTACATCCAGAATGACTCAGAGGTTTCCGCTGTTTTCAATTTCTTGGTACTGGGGCTCAAACCCAGGGCCCCGTGCATGCTAAGTGCACCGTCTATGCTGGGCTTCTCACAGCTCTGGGCTTGCATCTTCAGTGGGAATCATGCAAACACAAAACACAGCGCGATGTTCAGCACACTTTCATCTCACTTTTGGAAGCAGCTGATATCTCTGGGAGAGAGGGCAGCAGTAGTGTGGGTGTGAAGGACTCAGTATCTGTAGATTCCTCCCGACACCTGCTCTGGGGCTTCCCCAGGCAGCTGGAACAGTACGCATGCTGATGCTACCACCAAAGCTTCCATCTCATCCCTGGGAAGGAGGCTCCACACCAGAGCCCCGTTCCAGGAGGAAGGCAGGTGCGCACTAGGCTCCCTGTCCAACCAGGCAGTGGGCCAGACACTGCTGCTCCTCCAAGAATCAGCACCACCTCTCAGCACCTCCGATTTCTGGCTTCCTCCTGGCCTTCTTGGGGATATCCCCAGCTTCCTCCTGGCCTTCCTGGGGGAGTCCCCAACATCCCTGTGGCCTTTCTAGGGGAATCCCCAACATCCCTGTGGCTTTCCTCGGGAGCCGATGGTAATGCAAGTCCAATGGACGGTCTGATCCTGGGGTCAGGCACCACGCACTGCGGACGCTGGCTCCTGAAGCCTCCTGTCACCTCTCCTGGAAGCCGAAGCCCTGCAGGAGGTATTTCCAGCTTGACCTCAACTCTCTGGCCCAAGAAGTTTCAGCTGAGTGTCTGCAGATCTGCAAGAGACCCAACAGAATCACTGGGCTTGTCTTTGTCCCCCAAACCCACACCTCTGTTTGTCCTCAACAGGGCCGCCCCCCCCCCCTGCCTTTTATCTGTTTTCTTCCAAATGCATAATAAAGGGCCCTGCCCTGAGGGTGGCCCCTGCATGCATTCCCATCGCTTTGGCCACACTTTGCTTCACTAAGCTGATCTCTCTCTTGTATCTGCCTAGCTTCAGGTGGACATGTCCACCCCATCCTAGGGAGGACCCTAAGACTTTTACTACTACCAGCTCCTGTGTATGGAGGACCTGATAGGCGCTAGGCTCTTCCTGTGATGATTGCTTGGCACCTGCCAGGCCATGTTCTGAACCCATGCTTAGCGTATGTACTGTGCTCACTGGGAGCTCCAGGAGCAACAAGAGGGCTGAGGTCCGGCCGCAGGGAAGTAAATAGCCTGCCAGGTGACTTCTTCCAGGCTCTGAAGGAGAGGAGCCGGGCTTCACACCCAGTCTTCCCCGAGCCTGCACTTCCTAAAGACCACTACATAGTAGTCCCAGCTGGGTGGCCAACAGCCCTCCCTGCTCCCACGCCCATGCCGTAGCTCACAGCGCATGACAGCCTCCTTGACCTGGTGAAAGCCACGGTCCGGGCCTCTGCAGTCCACGTAGTACATGAACCGGAGCTCGGCGGGGTAGGCGTCTCTCGGCAGCCCTGCCAGCAAGGGGATGGTGCAGCCCTCGGCCCCCGGGGCCTGCGTCAAGGCCTGCAGCATCTGGTACTTGCACCACGGGTCACAGAGGAAGCCTGGGGTGATGAGCAGCACGTGGCAGTGGCTGCTGCTCAGGGCCTGGCACAGCTCAGACACGATGGCCCCGCCGGGGGCCGCATCCCGCAGCTGCAGGAAGCAGCGCAGCCTGGCGGAGCTGCCCTCCAGGTAGGAGACCAGCTCCTGGGCAGCAGCCAGGTCTTCCTCGCTGTGGCAGACACACACATCATAGTCCTTGCTCCATCGACCACGGCTGCCGGTGTCCTCGTGTGCAGGTGGAGGGGTAGAAGACCTGACTGAGCCGAGGCTCGGAGATGGGGAGCTGTCCTTCAAGGCCAGCTGCGAATCGCCACCAGAGTGGCTGTTGGAGGAGACGGGCTCGCTCCTAGGCTTCTTCAGCAGGGCCTGCCTGAGCCAGTCTGTGGGCACAAACACACATGCTCAGCCTGCCTGCGCATGGACCCCAGGAAGACTGGCAGGACCCCACCAGCTCCCAGCGCTGGGAGTCGGTGCCTCCCTCTTCTCAGACACCCACCCTCAGGTCTAGCATTCAGTTCCCTCTGTCTGGAAAGGCTCTAAAAATACACAAGAACCCTAGAGTCCTGTGGGACTGTTTCACAGCTCGGTTAAGAGAGACAGCCTTAGCTGGATGGGGTGGTATGCGCCTAGAGACCCGGCTACAGGAGGCTGAGGCAGAAGGAGGATTTGAGCGAGGAGGTAGACGTTAGCCTGGGCGACACAGCGAGACCCTGTCTCTAAAACTGGAGGTGGGTCTCAAGCACTGGTTAGGGTGGGTTATCCACCCACTGTGGAAAGGAAGGAAGCAGGGGACTGGCATATTTCTGGTCCTGAGACATCCAGGAATTCTGCTAAATGGGCAACATGGAAGAAAGCCAGTGCTCAGAGCTCCTGAGGGGCACAGAGTCACACTCTGGAGCCTGGTACACACAGCTGAGGGCAGAGTGGTCTTAATTTCCATTCCCTCATCTGTAACACAGGGTGATCTAGGTGTTGAAGGGTGCACCCCGGTTGCTCTCTGGTATACTGTGAGTCCTGGGTAATGATGTTAAAACCCAGCTGTTTTGTTTCATTGCCTTTTGAGACAGGGTCTTGCTATGTAGTCCAGGTTGGCCTTGAACTCATTATGTAGCCCAGCCTGGCCTCAAACTCATGGTGATCCTCCTGCCTCAACCTCCCCAGTGCTGGGGTTATAAGGGTGCACCACTATGCCTGGAAAAATCCAGCTGTGATAAAGACAGATAATACGGTGTTCTGAGGATTAGTTTTCTCTCTGCTTGGCTCCTTGCTGTGAATGATTCGGGACAGACATTGAGATAGCAAGAGACACAATGTCAGCCACTTGGGACTGTGGTTTCCAGCCTAGGGAAATGGGCAGAGCCAACCTAGAAAGACCTGAGCCCACAGAATCAGGACCTTGCTCACACATGCCACTTAGTATCCGGTGCGCAGGCAGGCACTCTGGTCTGGGTGGGGCTCTGTCCCCCATCAGCCACCATGCATCTCCCCTCCCTCCACACCGACACAGGGTGACACTTTAGGAAGGAGAGTGTCCTGCTCACCTGCCATCCTGCTCAGGGGCTTCCTGGACGAGGAGCGAGGCACCGGGTGGGAGGACGACGATGCCATAGTGTCGGGCTTGAAACTAACCTCGTCGGGCTGTGATCGGGCAGGAGGCCCAGCGTTGACCTTGAGGAGCAGCCATCCTGCAGGGGACAGAGAGAGGAGTACACAGTAGCCATGCTGCAGCGTTCTCAGCCCCACACATGGCCCCTGGAAGTTCTGTGCTCTCCTAAGGCCTGACGGCGTCTGGGCTCAGACTTACAGGGTGAGAGCTCAGCATGACCGGTGTGCAGACTTCCTCCTGCCGTGCCTGGCCAGGGGCACCGGGAGACCAGGAGTCCGGAGCAGAGGCTGGCAGGTAACACTTTAAAGGTACTTCGGGGAGTGCTGAAAGGGGACAGATAGACAGTTGCTGTTTGGACAGAAAACCATGCATTGAGATAGCTGAGTGCAGAGCTGCTGTGAGACATTTCCTCCACATCTGACCCCAACCCCAAGACCCCGCCCAGCCACCCAGCCCCTAGCTGTCAGCTGGAGGAGACAGGGTCACAAGCAGCAGTGCCCAGATTCTCAACTCTCACCTCTCAGCTAACCATGGCCTCTGGCAACCTGGCTAAGCTCCAGTGCCTCCATCTGTGAAAGGGAAACTGCTCTTAGAATTCCTGCAGGAAGCTAGCAGATAGTTCACGGGGGTCCTAGCCCTGTGGCAGGTGATAAGTGCTCCGAAATGCTGTGGCTTAGAGTGACTTTTTCTTTTTTTGCAGAGCTAAGGATCAAACCCAGAGCCTTGCCCATGCTAGGCCACCCCTGAGCTACTTCCCCAGCCCAGTACATCTTTCAAATAAGCTAACCAGGTGTGGTGGTGTGCACGTGAAGTCCCCGTACTCCGGAGTCCGTGGTGGAGAGTTACTTGAGTCCATGAGTTTAAGACTGGCACAGACCTTTCCCAAAGCAAAGCAAGACAAGCCTGGTGTGGTGGTGTATGCTGGAATCCAAACACCTGGGAGCCTGAGGTGGAAGGATTACCATGTTTGAGGCTACAGAGTGATTTACAGAGTGGGCCTGCACTGCTCAGTGAGGCCCTGTCTCAAAAAACCAAGCCAAGGCCTGGTGTGGTATTGTACGCCTGTAATCCCAGCACTCAGGAGGCTGAGGCAGGGGGATCATGGAGTTAGAAGCCAGTGTGGGCTACATAGTGAGTTCAAGGCCAGCTTGTGTCTCAAGAAAAAAAAATTAGACAAAAACAAGACAAAACCAATCTAGACATGGAGGAGCATATTTTGTTCACTGTATACAAGATATGATATTGTAATACTTATTATCCTAAAGTGACCTACAGTTTCAGAAGATTTTGCTTTGTTTTGTTTTTCTCAGCTCCTGAAGATTGAAACCAGGGCCTCTCACTGAGCCACATTCCAAGCCCTGTTTTTTGTTTTTGTTTTTGTTTTTTTAATTTTGAGATAGGATCTCACTAAATTGTTAAATCACCCAGGCTAGGTTCCATCGAGTGGTCTTCCTGCCTCAGCCTCCCAGAGTGCGGCTGAGATTACAGGTGTGCACAACCACACCTGGCCAGCTTCCAGGTTTTAATTTTTGGCTCCTCCACGGGGAGTTTACCAGACTACTCCTAAATCTACAAGGAAACACGAAGGACGAAGGTACCTTAGCTGGAGCATCTGCTGAATCCTCGGCCCACCCCAACACAAAGGTGCCCTCGGGGCTGCCGGTACCTTCTGCTTGGGTTCCAGGAGAAGGCTGAGGTGCAGAGCCCACCTTGGGGCAGGGGTGGCGGGAACTCGCTCCAGAAACTGCTCCAGTGGGGACCTCGGCTCGGGGGCTGCTGTTCCACTTTTCTTCAGATCTGCAGAGGTCAAAAGAAATTTTACAGACAGGAGTCACGGTGGATGCCTGTATTCCCAGCACTCTGGGAAGCTGAGGCAGGAGGATCACCATATTTGAGCCCAGCCTGGGCAGCTTAGGAGAGACTAAGTGATACTGTCTTTCAAGAAAATAAAAATAAAAAAGCCCTTTAAGAAGGTCCTGGCTCAATCCCCAGTAGCAAGAAAAAAAAAAAAAAAAAAAAAAAAAAAAAAAGCTACCTCTAGAAACTCAAAAGCAAGAAATTTCATTACTGGACAACACTGAAGAAAGGTTTCAAAATTCCAGTTAGCTGGGCAGCCTAGCTGGGCCTGGTGGCCCATGTCTATAATCCTAGCACTCAGGAGCCCGAGGCAGGAAGATCCCTGTGAGTTCATGGCCCGCCTGGGCTACACAGTGAAATTCTATCTCAGAAGGACAAAAACAAAAGAGAAACATACATAAATATAAAATAGTGTAACATTTTTATTTTGAAACAGGATCTCATTAAATCCCTAAACTGCCCAGGCTGGTCTCAAACTTCTGACCCTTCTCCCTCAGACTGCCATGGAGCTGGAATTACAGGTGAGTGCCAGCCACCATGCCGAGGCTAAAAGTCTCAACTTCTGGTTTTAGGAAATGATTCGCTCTTCTGACAACACATCCTGACTTTGGGTAATTACCTTTCCATTGCTTAAGAAGGAGCCTAGGGCTGAGGGTGTAGTTCAGTGGGAGACAGCGTGCCTAGCGCATGCCTAGCTGCCTAGCCAGAGGTCTATGCCCCAGTGGGGGGGGGGGAGGAGGGAGAGAAGGAGGGGGTAGGGGAGGGAGAGGGAGGAGCTGGAGCACGAACGATCCAATTGTCCAGCAATGCATGCCACTTGAAGTGGGGTGGCTGAGTCCCTGGTGACTCTGACAGGAAACAGCAGCATCTATCACAGGACAGTGGAGCGAGATTGGTAGAGAAGTTCCGGGGACCACATGTGGCCTACTTCCTAGAGTTTCAGCCCTGCACTGTCCTTGTTCCTCATCAGTTCTGTGAGGTCAGGACATGGGGGCAGTCACACGCTCAGGCGTGCCTCAGGCTTCTCTGGATTTGGTCACAGTCATCACATCAAGACACAGAGGTCAGCCAAGCATGGTGGCGCACTCCTGTAATCCCAGCACTCAGGAGGCTGAGGCAGGAGGATTGTTGGGAGTTCCAGACCAGGCTGGGCTACAAAGTGAGCCTCAGGCCAGCCTGAACTGCATAGTGAGACCCTGTCTCAAAAAGACAAAACCAAACCAAACCAGAGGCCAAGTGGAGCAGACAGGGAACTCAGATGTGCAGCTGGAAGGTCCCATCACTAGTCTTGGCTTTCTCTGACTTGCTGTGTGGTCTCACGTAGTCACTTTTTCATGTGTGCTCTTTTTTGGAGTCTGGGGATTGAGTCCAGAATGTTTGGACTAAGTTATATCCCCAACATTTCTGTTTTCAGTATGTGTGAAGATACAGCAACTATTTAGAAGAAAACAAGAGACAGGGGGCTGGGGATTTAGCTCAGCGGCATAAGCACCTGCCTTGCAAGCAGGCGGTCGTGAGTTCGATCCCTGGTTACCAATAAAAAAAAAAAAAAGAAAACAAGAGACATTATGGTAGCCACTGCTGATCTGCTGTTGTCTTGCTTTGAAATCTGTGTCACTTACATTGTTTTCTTCTGATCTGCTTTGTTCTATTTTGTTTTACCCTCTTGAAAATAAAAATAAAAATAAGCTTTTTTTAAAATTTTGAGACAGTATCTTGCTACATTGCTCAAGACAAGCTTGAACTTCCGCTCTTCCTGCCTCAGCCTCCAAAGTATCACTGGGATTGCAGGCGTGTACCACCGCTCTGGGCTGCTGCATGTTTAAAAATCATAAAGCAGGGTGGGCAGGGTAGCACACACCTATAGTCCCAGAACTTTGGGAAACTGAGGCGGAGGGGTCACAAGTCTGAACTCAGCCTTGGAAATTTAGCAATTTATGAGACCCTGTCGGGAGGCTGGGGATCTAGCTCAGCAGCATAAGTGCCTGCCTTGCAAGCAGGCAGTCGCGAGTTCAATCCCTGGTACCGATAAAAAATGAAAAAGAGACCCTGTGTCAAAATAAAACACGAAAAGCACTGGGGCTGTAACTCAGTGTGAAAGTTCTTGGTTCAATCCCAGGAAAGCGGGGGACAAAGCAGAATGATATACCCGCTTCATAGAGAATCTAACAAAATCTCGACAGAAAATAAGCAGTTCCTCCAAAAAACGAGGTAGTAGGGTATCCTCAGTGCCTCCTAGGATGCTTCCCAGTACCGTAGGTAGGAACTTATTAGGAGAGAGAAATGTTAGGAGCCTTCACCGGAGGAGACATATTGTTATTCAGCATCTGCTCCCCAATTTCTATCATGTAGCAAATGTACCCAAACTGAGAAGAGATCCAGACATGGAGACTGGAAAGCGTCTTTCATAATTCATACTAAATTTCCACTAAGACAGAGTCAGGGTCTGTAGTGGACCAAACAGTGCCCCCAAGACATCTACAGGCGAATCCCTGGAAGGAGATGTCGGGAGACGTCACCTTCTGCAGTGCCAAGAGACTGTGGTGTGTGACTTTGGTCCCAGAGGCAGAACTTGTGAATCCCCAGGCCGGCCGGGTGCAATCTCCGGAGCCCTTTGGGGAGCCGAGGGGCACAGGCAGGGGAAGGTGGAGTGGCTCCCAGAGGAAGCGGGGCCCACTCCAAGCTGCGCAGGCAAGGCCGGCTTCTCCAGAGGGCAGAGCCCTGCTGACTCCCTGTGGACCCATGAGGTCATGAGTGACCCTTGCTGGACGCAGCTGCTCTTTGTGGTAGCCGTCACAGCAGAGGCTGGCTGTGTCTCTTATTTCTCGTCATGTCAGGCAGTGAACACAGAAGCACTGAATCCAAACTGAAGGCCAGTAACTAACACCGTGTACACTTCCCCAAGGCTAATTTATTCTCAAATAGTTGGTAAAACATTCAGGCAGGACTCATGAGGCCTTGTGAGACAGTGTCACTAAAAGTACTGAATATGCTGGGCAGGGTGGCACAAGCCAAATCCCAGCACTCAAGAGCCTGAGGCAGGAGGATCTCAGGTTCAAATCTATTCATTAGCAACTTAGTGAGAACCTCAAAAACAAAATGGTGTTAGGCCAATTTAGATAGCCTTGCTGCAAAAACCATCTCTCACACCATATAAAAATCGGTTTCATCACATGGATAGTAGCTGTAACTGTGAATGATAAAACACAGGCAGTTATGTCCTGGCTTTGGGACAAAGGTTTTTTCCATAAATAATGCAAACATGGCAGTCAGTGGTAAACTAGAAAACATTAAAATAAAAACTTTGTTCATCAGCAGGCGGTGGTTGAACACTCCTGTAATTCCAGCACTTGGGAGGCTGAGGCAGTAGGATTATCAGGAGTTTGAGGCCAGCCTGGGCTACATAGTGAGACTTTGTCTCAAAAACCAAAATAACAACAAAAGGCAACTTTACAAGAGTAAAAGTCTGGTGAGAAAAATGTTTAAAAATATACACCCAAGGGCCAGGGATTTAGCTCCATGACATAAGTGCCTGCCGCCAAGCGGAAATCATGAGTTCAATCCCTGGTACCCCCCACCCCCCGCCAAAAAAAAAAAAAAAAAAAAAATATATATATATATATATATATATATATTTATATACCCCTAAGTCATGCCTTTCTGTACCTCTCACATAGTTCAATAACTACCAACTACTGAAAGAGAGGGGGCCTGTTGGGAACACCGGCTCTGTTTTGGGGTGTGGCTCACCCTGGGTGCAGTCTCCACCCTGCAACGCACAAATGGGCCGAAGACCTGAAGGGGTACTGCACAGAAAAAGACTCACAGTCAAGGGAATGCAAATTCGTCCTCGCCAGGGCCCCCCCTGGCTGGCACTCCCTGGCGGCGGGTCAGCTTGAGGTGGTGAGCCCTGCAGTGTCTCTACCAGTGTCAGAAGTGCGAGGGCGGCATGCGTACACCCTGCGGGAAGTGTGTAAACTGGCAGGCTACTTTGGAGAACAATTGTGCACCCTGTTCTACAACTGGACACACGCGCCCAGAGATTCCACACCTAGGAGCGGAAGTGGATCCACAGGCTTGCCAAGGCGCATGCTCGGGGATCCACTGCTCAGGGTGATCCACAACCGGAGGCCACAGGAGCACCAGCACAAGAGTCAGGAGGGGACTCAAACCCGTGTGCCACGGCACGGGACACGGCGCATTTATGAGAATGGGTGGCTGCTACGCACACCACGCACTGACTACACAAAATGCCGCGTGTACACGAGTGCACAGGTATTCATGGACTGAAAACCTGAAATTAGGCCGAGCTATTTTATGGTGTCAGAAGTCAGATTAGTCATTCCCTGGAAGGGGAGGCAGCGACTAGAAGTGGTCATAAAATGTTTGGTTGGGGAGGGCAGGTAATGGTTTACTGATTGTTCTAGAGGCAAACTTTGCAGAAAATGCTCAGCCCAGCATGTAGGCTCTTTTCTACATGTATGTACCCACGCACTCTTCAGTATGGGATGAACTCCAGGGCTTTTGCACACCATCAGCGCTTTCTGATTTTTATTTTGGGTCAGGATGTTGCTAAACGGCTCAGGTGGGACTCCAACTTCTACTCTAACTTCCCATCCTCCTGCCTTAGCCTCCCAGCAGAGATTACAAGCGTGTGTCACCTGGCTCGGGTTTTTTTTTCAAGTCTAATACTCAACTTGAATGTGGTTTCCTGAGTTATTCCTGACCCCAATTCTGGTCTCAGCGGGACACTCCAAACTTCAGGATCTCGGCTGAACACGGTGATCTCTAATTAGGTCTCCACCCCAGGCAGGAGGCCCCAGCTTGTGCTGCCCGCGCGTCCCTCTGTGCCTTGCGCGTCCCTATGAGCGCGGTGGCGCTGCCTTCGCGGACCCCGAACCCTGCAGAAAGCCAAGCGCTGACAGCACCCCCAGCCCCCGAGCTGCGGGGTCCCCAGGGAAAGGCGGGGGCCACCCCCCAGCGGCCGCCGCAGGAAAGCGAGTCTGCCCGCGAGGCCTCTGCGCGCTGCTTACGTGATCCGGCGCCGGGGCGCGGGCGCAGGGCAGGAGCGGGGCCGGCGGCGCTGGGACCGGCAGAGTGGGCCGAGCCCGGGTCCGCGGCTCCCGGAGGCCGACGAGGCCGCTTCCCGGAAACGCGAGCCGATGCCCCGCCCGGCCCGACCGGGGCGGCGCTGCGTCTCCGTCCGTCCCCACCGCGCAGAGGGGCGGTCCCGGAGCCGCCCGGGAACGCGGTCCTCGGCTTTGTCCTGGGTGGGGAGTGGGGACAGAGGAGGAGACACAGACCTTCGCTTCACTCATTCAGTCTTTCGGGCACAAGCATGGTGGGGCACGCCTGTAATCTCAGCACTTCGGAGGCTGAGGCAGGAGGATCGCTACATAGAGTTAAGGCCAGCCCGGAGCAGGTATGGGACTGTGTGCGCAGCCTTCTTTCTAAAGGCGCCACTGAGAACGGTGAAGCGGGCTCGGCTGCAGGACAGGCTGGTCCAGGGCGGCCACTGTGAGGTCAGCCCTTCGGGGAACCCAGGCCCCAGAAGCTGCAGGTCCCCTTTGCTGACGCCGCCGACACTGGTGTGTGATGCCAGCTGGCGACAAGGACAGGCAGAGCGGCTGTGAGAAGCCGAGGTCCAGGCAGGATGGTGGCGAGTCCTGGGTGAGCCGAAGCCCGGTGACTCCTTTGCTCTCCCGCCTCTGAGTCCTGAGCTATTTGTGAGCGCTGTGATGACAGGACGGGTAAGCATGGCGCTTCCCAAACTTTTTCCCCTGTAGAACAAAATCTTTACACCACTGTCCAAGCAGTGTTCCTGCCAGCCAGCTTTGGGAGCGCCACCTACAGGGAGGCATGTGACATGCAGGGATTCAGCCCAGGGTCACTGTGCTGATCTGAGTTTCACCTTATCCAGCCAGCCAAGGGGTAAGCGGCCTGCCTGAGAGGTGGTCTGCCCTTGGGCTGCTCACATAGGACACTTCGAGATTCTCTTTCCTCATCAGAATTATGGCCTCTGGTTGCTTGTGTTGCTGTAAGTGTATTCACTTATTTTTAAAGACAGGGTCTCACTAAATGGGTAAATGACCCAAGCTGGGCTTGAATTTGGGATCCTCCTGCCTCAGCCTCCCAGAGGGCTGGGATTATGAGCCCCATACCCTGCTCGCCCACAGGATAGACGATTCCATGATGCACACTCAGTACTTGGGTAGAAAGGCGTAGCCTCTGGGTGTTTTGCTCTGGGCCCTGAAGTTGGGCTGTCTGCCGCAAGGCACAGTAACTAGGGCACCTTACAAACCACCTGAAGGGACAGTAAGTGGACGTCCTGTCCCCTGCCCCCGGGCCTTCGCAAGTTCCTTCCTGTTTTTCAGCACTTTCTGGCTCTTCCTCTTCTGCCTCCCTCCCGGGCCCTGGGTCCTCCAGGCGCTCACACGTGGGCCAGAGGGCACAGAGCTGTCCCTGCCAGTCCCTCCGAGGTCCCTCTACTGCTCACCTTTTGTTCCCCCTGAAGGCCAGTTGTGAGGAGGGAGCAGCCACCTTGCCAGGCCTGGCAGAGCCTGGTACAGAATGCCACCTTTTCCACGCCTGTCCCGCCTGCTGCCTGGGCCACTACCCCTGGGCTCCATACCATCCTTGTCTCTCCTGTCCCACAGACACCTCTCCAGGGACCTCCTTTGTGCTCTGTCCTTTAAACACTGGCGGGGTCTCTGCGACCTGTTCTGGGCTCCCTGGTGCTGTCTCCAGTCCAGTGTCCCGGGAGGCCACACCAGCAATCCCCTCCATCTCCACTGGGGGGCTCCACTCCTGCCAGCCCTCACTGCTGCCCCGGTGCTCCCGCCCCCTCAGGAGGCCCATCCCAGCAGGCAGTCTGGAATGACAGTGCCCACTCTGCCATTGCTCCTGTCACCTCAGCCCCACCTGCTCCTCGCCAGGCTGCTGCTCCAGCCTCCTCCCGCTGCTGCCCTGATGTCCTAGTGTGCTACCCACAGACAGCTGGGCTGATTCGCTTTCCTTGTTTCACTTTGGGCTGTACTGGGGGTCAAACCTCAGGTCACTGTGCCTTGGTCTAAATGCTGGTGTCCTCTTGAGGCTGAGGCAGGACTGCTGCAAGTTTGAGACCAGCTTGGGTTTTGCAGTTGAGTTCAAGGCCTGCCTGAACTTCAGAGAGAGAGAGAGACCCTGTTTTTTTTTTTTTTTGTGGTACCTGGGATCAAACTCACAAATCCTGCTTGCCAGGCAGGCGCTTATGCCACTGAGCTAAATCCCCAGCCCCGAGAGACCCTGTATTTAAAAAGGGCATGATGGGAGCTGCCTTACTCTTGCAGAGGATACAGAGAATTTGCTACCGATGAGCTGGGGTTGACCTTGGAACTTGTGGCCCTACTGATTACAAATGACCAAGACTAAGGTGCTTGCTACCAATGAGCTGGGGTTGACCTCGAACTTGTGGCCCTATTGATTACAAATGACCAAGACTAAGGTGCGGTGTTCCCGCAGCCTCTGACCCTGCAGTCCTCGCTCTGGGCCTTGCTGCATGGCTTCCCTCTGCTGAGTGCTCCCTGTTTGTCCTTTCGATTCAGCCTGAGGTCAGCACCCTGGAGATTCCTCGCCAGCCTCTGCCCTTCAGGGTGAGGTGCCCCTGTCCTGAGCCTGTGTCCACTCTGGAGGACCGAGGAGAGCAGGACGCACACCTCACTATGCTTTGCCTGCTGCTGTGTCTCCAACATATGGCCCTGAGTATGGGCACAGCAGATGAGTGAGCACATCTCTTCCCTCTGCCACCTGCACTCTGCAAGAAGTCAGGTTCAGAGCACTGCCCTCCTTCGAGCTGGAAAGGCTCCTGGGAGGAGGGTGGGGCTGTGGCTTCATACTCCAGCCGGGGAAGGCTCTGGAATGCTTTAGAGCTTCTGCCTTAAGAAGAAAATGTAACCAAAGACTGCTGTGAAAGGGTTCATCACATTTATGGATCAACAACTAGGGCTGACAAGTCAGTGCATCTGGGCCAGGGCCACCTTGGGAGATGTCAGCCTAGCAGGGGCTCAGGCCAAGGGTCCCGCCCTGCCGCTCGCTGCCAGCATGGGGCTCTGTGACTGGGTTGCCCAGCCAGATTGAGGGCGGTGGACCAGGGGCTGGGGATTTAGCTCAGTGGCATAAGTGCCTGCCTTGAAAGCAGGCAGTCGTGAGTTCCATCCCTGGTACCAATAAAAACGAAAAAAAAAAAAAAAAAAAAAAAAGAGGGTGGTGGGCCAGGGAACAAGGCCTGGCGCACTGCTGGGAAGACCTGGCAGTGGGGCCAGTGTGGAGTGCACATGCTCAGATGATGTTCTGCTCCAGGACCTTCTCCTCCAAATAGAAGCGGCTGAAGAGGAAGGGGGTCAAGTCGATGGTCTGGAAGTGGCCGTTCAGCAGTATCTCAGCCACAGCTCGCCCCACGCCCACGGCGTGCTGGAGACCATGGCCGCTGAAGCCCGTAGCAAAGTACATGTTGACCACTAGTGGGTGGGGGCCCACCACGCCATTCTGGTCAAAGGTGTTGTAGTCATAGTAGCCAGCCCAGGCGCTGCGGACCTGGGGGTGCACAAGATGGGGGCCTCAGCAAGGCCGCAGACACACTCGGCCCTCACACCTGGTCAAGGGCAGCAGCTGCAGGCCGCGTGCGACGGGGTGACCTCCACAGACTCCTCAGTAGTTCTGAGGTGGAGGAAATGTGGCCACCACAGGTCCCGGGGGACTGTGATACTCCCACAGCACCCATCCTGCCCACTGTGCAAAGACAAACAGAAAAAGCCACCCCTCACCAGTTACCTTGAGACTCTCGAATGCTGGCACCCGCTGCGCCAAATGGGGCCACACTTTGTTCTGGAAGAAATCATGGTCCACTTCCAGATTGGCTGGGTCAGGTTCCTCCTCCTGGGGGAACAGTGGGAGCAAGGCTTATGCTGAGGAGCTCCAGACCCCACCTTTAATAGGTGGGGAGTGGGAGGGATACAAGATTCCAATTCTGCCCAGGGTGGTGACACATGCCTGTCATCCCAGCACTTGGGAAGCTGAGGCAGGAGGATTGCTGCGAGTTACAGGCCAGTCTGCACTACATACTGAGACCCTGTCTCAAAAAATAAAGATCCCAATTCTGACTGGATGCACTGAAACCTCAATAACTCGGCACGGGGACCCCAGAAACCAATCTCTCCCTCAGCCCACATCTCGTTCCCAGTTGGTGCCCCCTCGGCCTGCAGCTTAGCTTACCTCTGTGGGGCTTCGGCCACCTACGTAGTTTTTGCCTAGTCCTTCTCGGCGGAAATACACTCCATTGGTGTCTGTAATCAGGGGCGTCTCCAGGCCTGGCCCTTGGGGGCAGTGCCACAAGTACACAAACCTGCCACAACCGGGGGTTAGGGGAACCTCAAAAATGGTGTGGCTAGCAACCCTCCCGCCCAGCCCACACATGCGTGGGGATCCACGTGCACAGCTGGCTCCGGGATCGTCTCTCCTCCTCTCACCGACCTCCTCAGCTGCCCTGAGGGAAGCTACCTTTTCCTCGGCTCCACAGGTAGCTTGGTGCCCTGCAGGGTGCCCGGCGGCCCCTTCCCGACCCCGGCCAGCTCCGCAACCTGCCCGGACCAGGCTCCCGCGGCGTTGATCACAATGGCACATTTTACTGGCTGGTACTCCAGGCTGTTGTCCATCTTGACCTGCAGGCGCCCGAGGGTGAGTGGAGAGAGGCCTGGCCCACACCTGGCCACCACGAGAGGGACACTTCCTCCTGAACGACACGTTACCCAGGCTGGGGAGTGGTAGGAAGGAGACCACTGGCCCCAGGGACTTACGTGGACTTCGTGGATTCTTTTCAAGTTCACCTCCTCCCCAACGGAGGTCCTCATGCGGCTTGATGATGTAACAAAACCTGCAGGAGGCAAGAATTGAACCTCAGAGCCAGGGTGTCGCCCAGCGGTAGCGCACCTGCATAGTGCGTGAGGCCCCAGGTTTGATTTGAAACACGTGCCTTCCACCCCTATAAAGCAGACCGTGAGCAGGGAATAGGGAGCCCACTGGTTTCGTAAGGAAACACAGCTAAAGGGTAAGTGCTTTCCCACGCAGCCAGCGGAGATCAGGTCACTGAGATCAACAGGGCCACGGGGAACAGGACAGTGTGGAAGCTGTCAAGGAGGTCACAAGTCACAGAGCAGCCTCGTGAGGAGCGCAGCGACACTGCCCGGGACTCGCCCTGGGCACTGGGGGCAGCCCTGCCCCTCCCCAGCCCTTGCTGAGCCAGCTTAGCACATGAGTGACAAGTTGGACCCCAGCCAGGGCCGGGGCCTGGTTGTGGAGGGCACAGTACGGATCCCTGCACTCACGTGTCACCTCTCCCTGGCAGAAGAAGACTCCCATGGACTGAACCTTTCGCCGAAGCCCCTGAAGCAGAGACCAGGGGTCAAACCAACCTTCGTTCTCCATCCCTGAAATGAGAGGAGGAGACAGCGGAGGTGGCACGAGGGCCTGCCTCTCCCACCACCCCACATCTCTCCGGGCTTGGGACCAGCTGGATGGGGCCATCCAATCCTGCAGAGGACAGAGAAGCAGCACAGCTGGGCACACCCTGTCACCAGAAGGCGAGTGGCCCTCCTGCAGCATGGCTGTGGTCTGCCCGGACTGCCCACATGGGAGCAGACTCACCATAAGATGCCAGGGCCACGCCCTCCACGTTTATCCAGGGAAACTTCTTTTGCAGCTGCGCAGGGGACATCAGACAAATTTTGGCCCCTTCCTGCCTGAGAGAAACGTGGCTGTGCATGTGTGTATTAGGGTAGAACAGGGAGGCCAGGAGCATGGACCCCAACCCCACAAGTGGGGAGTCTGGCTTGTTCATGTCGCTTCTCTGTCCGAACTCCTCAATGTCCCTGCCCTGCTGAGTGAGAAAGACCCCGACACTCAGGGCAGTCTCTGCTCTCTGAGCCTCTCCCTTTCCCTATGCCTGCATCTGCCTGCAGCACACTAAGCTCCACCTTGCCCCCTTCCTGTTCCAGCTCCTTTATAAACTGGTAGGAAGGTAAGTTCCCTCTACAGCTAGCGGAGTGGATTTCCTCTCCAGAGCCTAGGGCAGTCCTCCTCTGGGATACTGTCCCCCAAAAGCAGGCACCGGACAAGACACTCTCCTAAATCAGGCTGCCTAACTGGAATTAAAGCCTATGGCCACCATGTACAAGGATCCTCGTGCCTCAGTCATTCAGGCTGAATGTCCCCGCATGTAAAGCAGGGACTTTTTTTTCCCCCAAAACAGGGTCTCGCTACATAGTTCAGGCTGCCCTCAAATTTACGCAAACCCCCTGCCTCAGCCTCCCAAGTGCTGAGATTACAGGTGTGTACCTCCTCGCCCATGGCGTATTCTGACAGTTAAATGCCTTAAAGTGATGAAGGGTTTAGGAAATTACGTGCTGTCACTAGTGAGAATTATAACAGGTGTGTTAAGAGTCTCCAGCCACAAGGTACTGCAAGGGTGTCCACGCTTAACTGACTTTGAGACTTAAAGCCAGATCCCACCTGCTGCCTGTTTTTTCCAATAAGCCAAGCTCAATCAATTGTATTTTTCCTATGGCTGTTTTATGCCACAGTGGAGGAGATGAGTGGCTGTGACTGAGCCTCAATGACTAGAAAACCTAATACATGGACTATTTGGCTCCTGACAGAAAAAGCCTGCTGATCTTGACTGAGGGTCCTTTTGAATTGCAGATTCCTGGCCAGGGGCAGTAATACACATTTATAATCCCAGCATTTGGGAGGTTACGGCTAGAGGATCTCAAGGTCAAGTCCTGCCAGGGCAATTTAATAAGGCCCTGTTTCAAAACAAAAAGCAAAAAGGACTGCCGATCTAGTTCAGTGTGAAGACCTAGGATTTAACGCCCAGTACTAAACAAAACAAAAGCCAAATAACCCTCATATTCCTGAACTACTGAGATGCTGGCTTATTAGGCCTGGTGATTCCCATGACCCTGCCAAGTTAGGGTCTGCCAGGGCGGTGTTCAGTCCTCAGCTGGAGCCCTTGGTATATGCCTGCCCTTCCTGATGGCCTGAGCTCCTAAGGAACAGGTACCTGTATCAGCAGCTTCAGCCTCACTCTTCCTATGTGGTGTTGGAGCACCCCGAAAACATGAGGCTGAGAGAGAGCTGGGGGGGGGGGCGCTGTGCTGGGCACCCACCTCTGCATCCTCACATTGCTTTCCAAGACAGCAGCACCCTCTTCTGAAGCAAGCAAAAGGTAACCCGAGGGGTTAAACTGGAGGTCCACGGGAGGGGCATCGGCCACAGCTAAGTGCTCCTGTGTGAAGAAAAGCTGCTCAAAGAGGCCGCTTTGAAAAATCAGGGGAAAGCTTTCCTGGCCCAATCCCTCACAGCACCTCAAATCAAAAGAATACCTCTCTCTCGACACCAATACCGTGAAGAGAAGAGAGGGACCAACTCCTAGCTGCTTGAACTGCTTCTCTGAGTGTCACTGTCCCAACCCCCCCACCCTGTCCCACTGCACGTACATTGATGTTGCGTAGAAAGTCGATTGCAAAGAGGGAGAGCTGGACGTTCTGAGGCAGTGAGAACTGCTGACGAATCCCACCCACAGAAAGTCCTGTGGAGGCCTTGGAGTACTGTAGAGAGACCAGAAAAGCCGAGCTATGCCAGTATGCTGTCATAATGGAATACTGCATGGGAGCTGTGAGTTCTACACCTAAAGTTATACGGAAAAACTCTTTGCAAATTTATAACCTAACAGCAGCTGTAGTGGAGAAACCCACATCAGGTCCACCAGCAGCCCAAAGGCAGTGTTAAAATCACCACTGGCAACTGAGCACAGCAGTGATGGTCAGTGATTACCAAGGGCTGGACAAGCTGGGCTTGGTGCTGCATGCCTGTAATTCCAGCACACTGGAGGCTGAGGCAAGAAGATTGCTGTGAGTTCAAGGTCAGCCTGAACTGCATAGCAAAACTCTGTCTCAAAAAACAAAAACCCAGCAGGCCACAATGAAACCAAATGGTAATGGTAATGCTAGTGATGAAGTCCAAGGATGAGAGATTAACATGTGATTACTGATTAGAAAATGAAAGGATATGGCCAAGTACCAAGACTTGTGCCTAGATCGGGAATGGCAGTAGGAACTAAACTGCAGAAACCTCAAAAGTGGGCTGGGGGTTTAGCTCAGTGGCATAAGTGCCTGCTTGGCGAACACGAGGTCATGAGTTCAATCCCTGGCACCAAAGAAAAAAAAAGAAACCTCAAAAGTACCAGTGACAGTGACATATGCCCTGGCTACATAGCAAGACTCTCTTTTTGTCTCGAAAACAACAAAACAAAACCCTCAAAAACAATGGAATCTAAAAGTTGCAATAGCTGTTTGCATTAATTAATTGCCTGACACGCAAGGTCTTTTGGGCAGACCTTTGTTATCTGGAAACATCCAACATTGTGGAATCTGCTTTCAAAAGCAAAAACCTTATTGTCAAGGATCCTGGTTTGAGGGAGGAAAAAAAATGGGGCTATGTCTCAACAAGGTCTAAAGTTCAAAGCACAGTTGCTGTTCCCTGGGCCCCCAAGGACTGAGGTCTTCCCCTCCACTCCTCTCACCTTGCCAGTCCTCCTTGGCCCACTCACAATTCTGCCCTACCCCAGACCTCACCGTCTGGTCTCGTTCCACCACTAGCACCCGAATAGCACCTCGTCTCTTCTCCAGCGTCTTCAGCCAAAAGGCTACAGACAGGCCAATCACTCCACCCCCCACGATCACCACATCTGAGTGTTCGGGGGGCAGGTGTTTGGTATCATACAGGAAGTTGCTGGGCTCTCCAGGAATCAGCGACCGGATCTTCTTCTTAATCTCCGACACATTTCCATCCCAGTCTGTGGGATGTGGATATGGTTAGAAATCCTACATCTCTGCCAGGTGGTTAAGGTCAGAAGGTGGGCCCAGGAAAAGCTGGGCTGAATAAACACTTGAGTTGGAAGTGCTCACTGTCATCCTTTCATACAAGGTCAGCTCTCACCCAGCAGTACTATCACAGCGTTGCTGGATGCTCCACATGCAGCCTGCCTGCCTGATCGTGCATTATGCCCGGCACTACAACATTCAATTTCCTAAAATTTGCAGTTTTCACTCTCTCCCTAGGCTAAGTGACTGCCATATGACTATCTCCTGAACAAACCTCTCCCCCACTTAAACGCCAGACTCAAGATAGTCAAGTGCACGGCCGTCTCCAGGGTATCCCAGACCCACACACAAGAGGTAATCGCACACTATGCTGCAGCTTCCTCTAAAGGCACTTAATCTTAGCCACCCCTGGATGCCCATCGCCACCTGCAAACCTCCTTTTAAGTGTGATGTGTCGTTTGGGGGCGGTCCTCTCGGTATCCATACACCTACCGGCCCGGGGCTCTAAGAGCTCTAAGAGCTTTCTGCAGCCGGCCCATGTCCGGCCAGCGTGGGCCCTGAAAATCAAGCCACAGAACCATAACACCCTCGGCTTTACCCAGGATGGAATTTCCACTGCGCGAGCTTAATCCTCGGATCAAGAGACTCCGGCCCAGGGTGGGCCGCAGCACCCTCCGAAGCATGTCGCTTGCGCCGAGCCCGAGCCCGTCTGAGCTCCGGCTACCCCATGGTCCTTCTACCAGGGTATCCCTGCCGTCACCGCCACGAGTTCAGAAGAGCGCGCCCATTGGCCAGCGGGCGCCTCCAGGCCCCACCCCTCCGCGCTATAGGCAGAGTCTCGTCTCGTGACCTCGCCGCGAGCCCCGCCCAAACACCGCTCCCTCATTGGCCCACCCTTAGTCTACGCCAGTGCAGCGCGCCCTCGGGACTACGTGGGGAGGGCACCCGGCGCCCCGGCGGAAGTGCTGCTGAGTCGGTTTCCGGGGCCGCTGGTGTGACGTGTCCAGAGCTTGGCGCAGCAGGAAGCGGCGGCGATCGCGGCCCGAGTTCCCGGCGCCGGTCCCAACTCCTTTCCCGCTGCCGCCATGCTCGACTTCTTCACTATTTTCTCCAAGGGCGGCCTTGTGCTCTGGTGCTTCCAGGGCGTGAGCGACTCATGCACCGGACCCGTTAACGCGTTGATTCGTTCTGTGCTGCTGCAGGTACCTTCCTCGCGGAATCAGAACTCTAGGGCACTTTTTTCCCTAACCCCATCCATAGTTCTCCTTCGAATAATGATCCCGCTCCCCTCTCCCGGCCTCCCGGCCCATAGTGGACTGGCCACTCACTGGTCACCCAGACTCTACTTTCCTCCGTTCTCCACAGGCTATCGTATCGCAACTTTGCGATGCCCCCCCCCCCCGGCTATGGGGGACCTTAGCCAGAATCTTGCTGTTCTTGGGGTTTCCCTGCCTTTTCTCCACTCACCCTCAGCAGTTTGGTTTTCTGGTGTTTCGAGACGGGGAGAGATTATGGATGGGAAATACCTTTTAAGAAACCAAACAGTGCACAGCTGCTAGTGGACCTGATTGTTTATGTACGATGACGTCTTTTTTGGTTCCTGGCGCCCACGTGTGGTGCCTGTCTTCGCAGTCTTTTCCCCACTCCCCAGCTTGGTATCCCCTTTTCTTTTTGGTGGGATGCTAGAAAGAACTGCCCCAGCATCTTCTTGCCTTAGGAACAGGTTTGACTTTGGGAGGTTTACTTCTTCCCAAGGGTATTGCGGGGGGTCCAAGTCTGGTTTTTCTGGGGTTAGCTCAAACCTTGAGACATACTGTTTTTTTCCAGGAACGGGGAGGTAACAACTCCTTCACCCATGAGGCCCTCACACTCAAGTACAAACTGGACAACCAGTTTGAGCTGGTGTTTGTGGTAAGTGGGACAGTGTTTACGTTTTCACCAAAATCCTTATCAGTCATCAAGAAAATGCTGATTAATTGCACCAGAGTTAAGTGCTGAAGTAACTGACAAAACTGGGTAGGTGGAGGGGGCAAAGGCAACTTCTGGACTAGGCAGAGAGCTTGGCTGCCTTTCAGGACAGCGAAACCTGCCAGGTGGCTGAGCCTATCTCTGGAGGCCTAGGTTGAGTTGGCATCCCTCCATTCTGGGCTAGCATGTAAGCAGATCTGTTGGCTCTGTTTCCTTCCCTAAACAGGTTGGTTTTCAGAAGATCTTAACACTGACATACGTAGACAAATTGATAGATGATGTGCATCGGCTGTTTCGGGACAAGTATCGCACAGAGATCCAACAGCAGAGTGCTTTAAGTTTACTGAATGGCACTTTTGATTTCCAAAATGACTTCCTGCGGCTCCTTCGGTGAGAGGCCTCCCTTCTCCAAAATCAGTTTTCATGACTTGATGAGCTCCCTTCCTGAAAGAAGTTCAAGGATAGCGAATTGGGTGTTCAGAATCCTCCCAGCTTTGCTGCCCAGTCCTGTCATGTCCTTTTGGTATGAGGGTCCTTTCCCTGGATTTTTATATTCCTTCAGCATGGGGTAGACAGATAAACCATTCTCTTTCCCCTGTAGTGAAGCAGAGGAGAGCAGTAAAATCCGTGCTCCCACTACCATGAAGAAATTTGAAGATTCTGAAAAGGCCAAGAAACCTGTAAGGTCCATGATTGAAACACGAGGTGAAAAGCCCAAGGAGAAAGCAAAGAACAGCAAAAAAAAGGGGGCCAAAAAAGAAGGTGTGCTCGAGCTCCTTGGCTGTGCGGGGTGTGAAAGGTGTCACTGGTGCTGAGGACTGAGGTGTTCCTTCCTTTTGCTGTTGCTTGCCTCCCTCTTGCTCACATGCTCACCACCACCTTCACCATCATCCCCAGGGCTGTATCCCCAGGTGTTGGGGCTGTTTCCTCTTAAGGATTTGGAAGACTTCTAGTCATTCCTACTTGGTTGGGATTTGGTCTTCTTTTCTCCAGTGAGTTTCTCCTAACAGGTTCTGATGGCCCTTTGGCTGCCAGCAAAGCACCTGCTGCAGAAAAGTCAGGTCTCCCTGTAGGGCCTGAGAATGGAGAACTTTCCAAAGAAGAACTGATACGCAGGAAGAGAGAAGAGTTCATTCAGAAGCATGGGAGGGGTATGGACAAATCCAGGTGAGCATCCTTCCATTAGTTCTCTCTAAAGACTGTTACCTAGCTGTGCTGGAGGCCAGCAAGCTGTTTCTGGCTCATTTTTGCCCCGCACCATAACCCTCTGTCCATGACCCTTTGCAGCAAGTCCATGAAGTCTGATGCTCCAAAGGAGAAGGGCAAGAAAGCACCCCGGGTGTGGGAACTAGGTGGCTGTGCTAACAAGGAAGTCTTGGATTACAGTGCTCCCACCACCAATGGGACCCCAGAGGCTGCCCTGTCAGAGGACATCAACCTGGTAAGAGGCAGCTGGGGCCAGAGTGAGGGTCCACTAAGAAGAGACCAAGAGGGTGATAGCGGGATTCATCTGAGCAAAGGAGGGAACCCCATGTGGAGCTTCCACATCCCCAGTGGACACGGCAAGCTGCGGGCTTTTTGCCCTCAGAGTTTTGTGTTCTGACCTCATCTTTTCATTTCTTCCCATCTTCCAGATCCGAGGGACAGGGCCTGGCGGGCAGCTTCAGGATCTGGATTGCAGCAGCTCAGAAGATGAAGGGGCTACTCCAAACTCCACCAAACCACGGTAGGCTTGCTGGGGGGTGGTGTGGACAGCCGCAGGAGTGACAGGCCCTGACTGCTGCTTGTGGCTCATGTGTCTGTGGTCCTGTGCCCGCAGTGCTCCCAAGGGTACCCTGGGTGGCATGTTTGGGATGCTGAAGGGCCTCGTGGGTTCCAAGAGTTTGAGCCGTGAAGACATGGAGTCTGTACTGGATAAGATGCGCGATCATCTCATTGGTAAGTTTGGAGACCTGATGGCTGGGCACAGAACCCGGTTGCTGAGCTGAGCCATGGGATTAGGCGCCGTTGACATAGAAATCTCCCATATCCCCTCTTCTCAGCCAAGAACGTGGCTGCAGACATTGCCGTCCAGCTCTGTGAATCTGTTGCCAACAAGCTGGAAGGGAAGGTGATGGGGACCTTCAGCAGTAAGTATCTTAGTAGCCCATCTTGGCCTCCCTGAGTGTGTGATTTCAGGAAGGCACATCCTTTGCCTTGTGAGGATGTGTGGTATAACCTGCTCGAGTCACAGTATGGTTTAGATTCTCAGGACAGGATCCCAGCATGGTCCTGGACTCCTTAGCTCAGAAAGGTGTCTTTGTTTTCTGAGTCAGTGCATTGGCTTTCACTTCGTAATCCTTCTGCCTCTGCCTCTGCCTCAGAAGCTGGGATTACAGGCATGCACTGCCTTGCCCAGTGAGGTGCTGGTTATTTGAGCACATTCCTTAAATTTCATGGCTGTACCCCTCCCACCTCCCCTTGCAGCGGTGACCTCCACAGTCAAGCAAGCTCTGCAGGAGTCCTTGGTGCAGATTCTGCAGCCCCAGCGTCGTGTGGACATGCTCCGGGATATCATGGACGCCCAGCGTCGCCAGCGCCCTTACGTTGTCACCTTCTGTGGTGTTAATGGTGTGGGGAAGTCTACTAATCTGGCGAAGGTGAATGCAGTTCCCCAGCCTGTCACTGACACCCTGCACTTCATTCTCCTGTCTTGGGAACCCAAGTCTAGGTGATAGTTTTCTTTACTGTTACAGATTTCCTTCTGGCTGTTGGAGAACGGCTTCAGCGTCCTGATTGCCGCCTGTGATACCTTTCGGGCTGGGGCTGTGGAGCAACTCCGTACTCACACCCGGCGCCTGAGCGCCCTGCACCCCCCGGAGAAGCATGGTGGCCGCACCATGGTGCAGCTGTTTGAGAAAGGCTACGGCAAGGATGCTGCTGGCATCGCCATGGAAGCCATTGCCTGTGGTACAGTGCACAGGACATGCGGGGGCTCGCTGGGGCCCTTTTCTTCTTTGGGTTCTCAAAAGTTAGTTGCTTAGCAACAAATTAAAGTCAGGGTTACTTTACTTGCTAGGCTGTGCTTTCGGGTAACATATATAGTCGTAGGCAAAGCTGGTATCCCAAAGAAACCCAAATTTAGTCTCCTTTACCCCGCTGTCACCCTTTTCCAGAATAGTTTTGGTAGTGGTCAAGAGAAATGGTTCCCCCCATAGCACCTTGAGACCAAACCCAAAGCCTGAGGAAGTAAACCTGAGTTTTCTGCAGAGCTGGACTGTGGCCCTGTAAAAGGCTAGGGCAGTCAGTGCATGAGTACACTGCCACTGTGTGTGTGAGCTAACCACTGCCTCTTTCTCCAGCACGTAATCAAGGCTTTGATGTGGTGCTGGTGGACACGGCTGGCCGCATGCAAGACAACGCCCCCCTGATGACTGCCCTGGCCAAACTCATCACTGTCAATACGCCCGACTTGGTGCTGTTCGTGGGGGAGGCCTTAGTGGGCAACGAAGCCGTGGACCAGCTGGTGAGGGCCTGGGTCCAATTCCCTTTGCAGGCCAAACTGGTGCAATTAGGTGGCTTTCATAGCACTTCCTTTCTTCCTTTCTAGGTCAAGTTCAACAGAGCCTTGGCTGACCATTCTATGGCTCAGACACCCCGGCTCATTGATGGCATCGTCCTTACCAAATTTGACACCATTGATGACAAGGTAAATGTGGATGACACAGGACAGTGAGACTGGAGGGAGCCGCACCCTTGGGGACCTGCAGGCTCTGAAGCCTTGTCACCGAGTACGAGTGAGAAGGGGGTTGAAAGGATTGCTGTCCCCTTTCTCCACTGCAGGTGGGAGCTGCTATTTCCATGACGTACATCACAAGCAAACCCATTGTCTTTGTGGGCACTGGCCAGACCTACTGTGACCTACGCAGTCTCAACGCCAAGGCTGTGGTGGCTGCCCTCATGAAGGCTTAATGTGTTTCTTGCCTAATACCAAATTGCCGCTTCCCCCAAAGCCCCTATCCCTGTATCAGGAATGTGCTTTAGAGTATGTGAGCAATCTGTCTTCAGTGTAGTACAGAGGCAGAGCAAGGGGAGCTGCAGAGGTGTATAGCTCCTCCAACCCCAGCCCTGCTCCGCCCAGCCTCACCTGCAAGGAGGGCCTAATCATGTTCCGATCACTGCCCACACCCCACCTTCCCCCACGAGCTCTTCTCCAACTCAGGCGTCCCCCTTCACTCTGCCTGCAGAGTCCATCTCATGACAGCTTTGACCAGTGGTCAGAAGACCCACACCAGAGTTGACAGTTAGGGTGGGCCTAGGGTATCTGCGCCCAGGGAGCAGTTTGAAGTCCTGGCTCTGTTAAAGACTGCTGGGCCAGCTCTGGGTCCCGAACAGCACTTCTGTCTGCGTAGGAAATGCGTACCTTTCAGGCCCCAGGTGCAGGATGATAACCACCTCACTGTGGCAGTGTGTGACCTATTAATTGCTGCTAATTCTGAATCTGATGATGAACCCTGCCCTATTCTTTCCCCGGAGCATCAGCTAGGCCAGAGTGATTGGTTCCAAATGAGTGCAAAGTGAGTCCCTGCTTCCCTCAGACGAAGGGAGCCAAGCTGCAGTGTTGCCTCGGGCTTCTCAGACTCCAGCTCCTCCCCCCAGAATCCGGATGGAAGCTTTGCATGTGCCCCTTCCTGGGAGAAAACCAGTTGTCAGGAGGGAACCCACTGCCTTCTCCCCACCCCACCCTCTGCCCCTGAGCAGGCCCTGGCTTTTCCTCATCCCCCTCTTCCACAGTGCCTGGTAGACAAGTGCTACATTGAAGAACACAAGCCTCTTGTTCAACTTGTCCTGTAGCTTGGTATTACAGATGTGCTATTAGTGCAATAAGGTGAAGGCTGTCTGCCCAGAGAAATACATAATTTATATGAGAAAATAAATTTCATAAATAAACTCTTGGATCTTGAAGTTGTTTTATGTAGGATTCAGAACTAAAATCTTAAATCACACTAACTAGTCCTAGGACTTAGGTGTGGAAAGGACAGTAGCAAAGCAGGAATTGGCAATGCTCTGAGAACTCAGATGAGGTTACCCCAGTGTTAAAGAACAGAACTTTTTTAAGATTTAAGTTGAATTAGAAAAATTAGGCTTCCTTGCACCTTGATGCAAGTTAAGTTTCCTATGGTGACTCAAAGTAGAGCCAAGGCCCTGACAAGTAAATGAACAAGCTTTTAATACAACTCAGTTATGTAAAATACTGTACAATGTAAAAGCTAGAAAACTAGAGCTTCAAGTCATGTTTTAAAAAAGCCAATAAGCTTAATTGAAAAACCAAGTATAGAGTACAAAACTGCAACAAGAGCCCCACTGACTCAGGACTGGGAGCTCCCCAAGTCCCTCATGCAGAGCTATAGCCAACATCGGTGGAGGTCGCACGTGAGTCTGCCGTGGACACCAGCTCGTCAGCCTGAGGCCCGGGGTCTGCATGTGGGCTCCACGGCCACTTGGGTGTTCTTCAGCTGCTCTCCAAGCGGAGAGCAAGAACCGGCTGACTGGCATGAAGGAAAAGCTGGACTTCTCCCCTGGCCTACCCCAGACTTCAGCCTCGGTACTGGCACTTCTGGAGCCATACTGGGTGCTCTTAGGCTTGCTTGTTAAACGTTGTCCAGAGCAGGGCTTGCAGCTTGGTGTAAAACGGTGTGTCTCGAGCTCATTCATGTACTGTAGCCTGTGGGGAGAGAACACCGAATGAAGTAAACGTCTCACAGAAAGTCTCCACATCTAAAGCTGCAGTCAGTCTCAGCCCTTCAGAAATCAAGATGGGAGACCCTAGGAGTCTTGTAATAGATGACAAAAAAAGACAGAATCCTTAACAAGGCGGGAGCAATCACTCGCCGCAGCTTTTACAAAGCCTTAGAACTTTGTGCTGACAGATGGGTAAGGAAAGGGAATAGAGTACCTCTCACTTCACCGTGTGCCGCAGATGAGCCATTGAGCTGGCCTCGCGCCATCCCTGCTGAACACAAAGTGCACTGTTAGCGGAGGAGCAGCATCTACAGGAGGGGTGCGTGGGGTGCCGAGGAGGACAGCGTCTGGACAGGAGCCAAAGGGAGGCGGGGGAATAAACCGGACCGGGCCAGCATTCAGACTCAATAACGGAAACACTCAAGTTCCACAGCCTACCCAGTTCACCTGTGCAGAAAACTGGCAAACCGCCATCCTTTTTTTTTTTTTTTTGTCTTTTTGAGGCAGGGTTCTGTTACATGGTTCAGGCTGGCCTTGAACTCACTTTGTAGGCCAGGCTGGCCTCAAACTCAGAGCAATCCTCCTGCCTTAGCCTCCTGGAGTGCTGGGATTACAGGAAGGTGCCACCGTGTCCAGCTATGTATTTTATCAAGTTTAGTTAAATTCTCTTTGATCAAGGGTGAGAAGCGTGTGAGTAACCAGATTCAACCACACAGAAGAGTAAAAAATAGTGTACATACCATCAACAGAAAATAGGCTATGCTGTCCAATACAAGACGCCAGCCACACAGGGCCAGCTTCAAATCTAGCTACCGGTTCTCTCCAGCTGCATTTCAAAGGCTTGATTCCTACATGTGGTATGCCGCTCTGACAGGACAGTGAGGTTACAGGAAATTTTTATCAAGGAAAATTCTACGGAACACTGTTTCCATAGATAATGGTACAAGAAGGAGTAAAAAGCTAAGTACGTAGGAGAAAGTGTAATCAGAATTTAGTCAAAATGCAAGCAGACATGGCACTAAAACTGGTATTCCCTTCTTGGAAAGCAATCCAGCAGCACTTATCAGTCACTAAAATGTTCCTGTGTTTTGACCTGTTAGTTACACCAAAATCTCACTGGGAGAAAATTACTGGCAAAGCAAATACGAGAGATGCTGCCATTCATTACAGCATTTCTCATAGCAGGAAAGTCTGGAGGCCCAACGTGGCAGCACACACTGGTACTCCTGGCCCCCGGCGCACTGAGGCAGAAGGCTGGCCCAAGGTCAAGGCCGCCTGGGTTACAGGGAGCTCAAGGGCAGCCAGGACTATACAGTGAGACCCTGTCCCAAATAAAGCAGAGGGGGTAGCTTCAATCCCTAGTCTATAAAATTGACTCTGTTGTGTTCATTTATTTATTTTTCTTCCGTTGCATGTAATGTTTTTGTGTCTGTTTTGGTTTTTTTGAGGCAGGGACTCACTATGTAATTCAGAATGGCTTTGAACTCTGTCTTCAGGCCAAGCTGGCCTTTAATGTGTGTCACCCTGCCTCAGCCTGAGAGCTGGGATTACAGGAGTGTGCCACCATGGCACCAGGCTGCATTTAAAATCTTAACAGTAACAAAAACCATGCACGTGATGGAATGGCACAAATTCTGTTCACAGCTAAGTACGCTTCCTACTGCAGTGTCTCTGGAAGTTCAGTCATTAAGGCACCGTGGATACAGCCAAGCGAGGTGGTGGATGACAGTAATCCTAGTACGTGGGAGCCGAGGCAAGAGACTTGCAAATTCAAGACCAGCAGGGCTTCAAAGTGAGTTCCAGGCCAGCCTGAACTGCATAGTAAGATCCCGTCTCAAAAAAAAAAAAAACAAAAAAAAAAACCAAAGGTGGGAATCTCAGTTATCATCACAGGAATTAATAATGTGAAACTCAGCAGTTTTAAGTAAAAATACTATTCTATTTAATCTCTGTAAATATCACTGAGAAGCATTTCAAGTACTCTGCTGTTCTGTTTTCACGTGCTTGGCAGTGGGCCACATGCAGTCCTGTACTTTTTGCATGATGAAAGTCACTTGTAATATTCTATAGGACCCAGTTGATACACATCACTAAACTCCATGGGGAAAAGAAAAATTCTTTATAATTCATTAATCCATTGCCACATGAAGTTATTTTGATACAGTTCCTAAGGATTAGGTCATTTTAGGTGTCAACTTTTTGTCCTCATACACAGCGGAGGCTGGCCTTGAACTCACGTGATCCTCCCATCTCAGCCTCCCAAGTACTGGGGTTACAAGTGGGTGCTACCATCTCTCTCCCAATTTCCTTCACAAAAACTTATTCTAGGATAAATTTGCTGGCATTTCTAGGTCAAAGCTTTCGATATTTGATACATATTCTGAATGTATCTTCCTAAAAGCTGAACTAATTTTACATTCCCACTGACAGCCCATAAAAAAATTTCTCCCCTCAAAGCCTTTGCCACAGTCGAGTGATGATACTGTTTGAAATCTTAATTCAAATTGCACCTCTCCACTAACCAGTGAAGCTGGACACGGGCACTTCACTCTCCCACGTCTCCCCCGCATGGCAGCAGCGGGCCTTCGGTCATCTACCCTGAAGACTGCGACTCCTGTTCGCACAGGGCCAGGCACCGCATCGCTCCTCCCCACTGTGCCACCGTCTCACCCCACACGCTGAAGGGCGGGGCCTCTCTGCCGTCCCTCCCTGTCACCAAGAGCATCTCACCTACTTTACCTCTCATGGAGATCTCACAGGTCAGTCGCTTGAAATACTCCGGGAGGTCAGCGTAGTCATTCCCGTAGGAGATCACCTTAATCCCCTTGTCCAGCATGTTCTCTCGAAGCTTCTTGAACTCGTCTACATCCCCTCTCCGAACCAGCATGAAATGTTCCAGGTCCGACTTATGCTTGACGGCCTCCAGGAAGAGCGCCTGGAAGGTGGTGTCGTCCACAGTCCAGCCACAGCCCAGGAAGAGGAAGGACTTGTTCTCGTAGAGCTTCTGAATCTCTCTCTTAAAGGAAGAGAAACAATACATTCGGTGCCCCGCGGACAGACATGTGGTGCGTCTGAAACAGAGTCAACAGTTCTGACCGCACGGCGAGCAGAGGAGGAGACCGACTGACCCAGGCTGAAGAGGGGACTGGTCCGCAGAGGCAGATTCCTCGCAGGCTGACTGGCCCGACACGCTCCACCGAGACCATTTCCCGCTTTTCACGCATTCTTCTGCCACCCTGTCACCAGTGCCCAGGACTGGCACTGGTCTAGTGGTTTCACGGTTTACTCTTTTAGATCTCTGTGCCCAGAGACCAGCAGGCAATGAGCAGTTCTTCGATACCATCTCCCATTTCTGGGCCCCACTGCTTTTATTAACTGTTTATTGACACAGGTCTCACTATGTGCCCTGGTGGTCTCACTCTTGGCGACCCTTCTGCCTTGGCCTCCTGAGTGCTGGTGCTATGAGTGTGCGCCACCACCAGAGTATTTCTAACACTGTACTCCGAAGATCAACAGACTGACTTGGGGATGACAATGTGGGCTTAGATACCCGACTGACATACTTCGAAATTTTGTTACAGTTTTTTTTTCTCTATCTTTGAATACAATGGATTTGAAAAACAAGAACACAAAATAAAACCCCTCCATTTGATCACCCAAGTCATTTCACCCCATGTTTTCCACTGAAGAGTTCAGCCTAGGCCGGCTGCCACTTATACATCTCTCTTTAGAATGCACACCCCAGAGGCACACATTCACTTCTGCCACGGCATTAACAAATCAATCGAAGAACAGTACTAGTGCATTCTGTTCAGGAAGATTATGCCAGCACCTGCCGGCTGCTCACCACACACACGTGTGAGACCCAGGCCTGATCTCTGTAGGGAAGCTTGGCATCTCCTAGGGTACTGTGCATACTTGCAAGCTAAGAGGACCTTCCTGCTTTTGGTTAACGACCTCCCCCTTTAATACCCACGGCATGCACAGAGGACTCCAGGAGGAGCTCCCACGCTGCCAGGCCAGCACTACTCACCATGACTTCCGTGTTCCTGAGCACGTTCTGGTACCCAGCGGGATGCAGCACAATGCCACTAGGGTTGGTGTAGACTCCATGGATGTGTAACACGCTTAGCTTCCGCTTCTCCTGAGCCCACTCCAGGACCTGCAGACACACACACAGCTGGACCAGGCTGCTCACAAGTCAACAGGGGCAAGAGGCAGTTTTGAGGACCAGACTTCCGACATAACTCTCCAGCTTTATGACACCACAGCGCAAGAATGCAAAACCTGACATGGTTTTTACGCTTCCATTTCAGGTGTGACTGGCAGGATGGCAGCAGCAAGCCTGGTGACTTCTCTTTGGAAGTAACAATCACGAATCAGAATTTTATACTATTTGCAGGAACAATGTTGGCCTCCTCTACTGGTAATGAACACGAACGTTATGGACCACTGGTTTGGTGACAGCCATTCCAAGGCCATAGGGATGCTAGGCTGGCCATACAGCTTGTCTCTGCCCATGCAGCAAAAGCCTGCAAGGTGCTGGTTTGAGTCCTACTCTTTGCAACCTTTGAACCCAGCTGCCACATGAAGCAGAGTAGGAACACAAAGCTCAGCCATCGCCTGTATCTCCACACAGCAGAAGATAGTCCATCTTCAACCCCATGGAGTCCTAGCCTGGCTACCAGATGACGTCGGCCATGTCTCAGGGGCGTCTCTTATGGGGCAACAGAAAAATGGCAGAAGAGTCACATCCATTCACCGTGAGGACCCTAAGAGGCTGCCACTCAGATGCCAGTGGTGATGGCAGCAGGTTATGCCTCCTGGATCTCACAGATCCACTTCCCCCAAGGATCCTTTACTGCTCTGCTGCTTGGGAGAAACAGGGTGTGGATTAGAAGAGAGTCAACAGGTCCAGAGGTCTCGAATCTGGGCGTCACCTGGTCTCATTCTGACTGCCAGTCGGTGGCTTTAGTCGCTGGACTTTTCCAGTCCAGTCCTAACCAGGACTGACCCAGTTTAGTGTGAGCTCACAGGCGATTACAGCATTCATGGTGGTGTATTATAAACCAAACATTACACTTCCGTAGTGGCACTGGTGTGGGCTAAAAAATATATTACACAGAGACGGGAAGCTCCAGGGAGAAATGAGAGGGAAAATCGAAGACTTACAGGCACCCTCGTCTGAAAAGGCTCAAGTATTTCTGATGCCCACGAGTAACTGACAGTGAGACTGTACCAGAAATGCTATGGAAACTGTTCTGGCCACCGTTTTTGATCTTTTTTTTGTTACTGGGAATCAAATTCAGGCCCTCACCACTGAGCGACATCCTGGGCCCTGTTTTTTAATTTCATACAGTAATTTATTAATTGAGAAATATTACTGGCTTCCTGCTAGCATCTGTACTACCTGACAGAGGAAGGAAAGGCTGATGTGCATGTGAGGGGGTTTTCAGGGGAGGGCACTTAAATTGACTGACAGGTGGAGGAGGGGCCCGGCTGCAGGCAGCCGGAGGGTGAAGGCACCAAGCACCGAAGCCAGAGAAAGCCAGTCCCACAGCACCACTCTTCTACTAGTTCAGTTCTCTGGTTTGTTTTGTTTTGAGACAGGGTCTCACTGTGAAGCACAGGCTGGCCTGGAAATCACTGTGATCCTCCTGCCTCAGCCTCCCGAGTGCTGAGATTGCAGATGTGCACCACCACGCTGGCTCTCGATTCTCTTTAAAACAGGGCTTCTGGGCCAACAAAACCGTGAGGGCACTCTTACAGTTACTACCCCGCCACAGGCAGGACCTCGGCAATAGGGACCAGCCGGCCAGGCTTTTCTATTCACCTTAAGACTATTTAGTGTAGGGGCTAGGGATTTAGCTTAGCGGCATAAGCGCCTGCAGGCAGTTGTGAGTTCGATCCCTGGTACTGATAAAAAGGAAAAAAGACCAAAAAAAAAAAAAAAAAAAAAAAAAAAAAAGACTATTTAGTGTAGAAAGAAAATTATAAAAACTGCAGGGCCAAATGGGGCTTAATGCAGTCGTTGTCAGACAGCTCACGAGGTCCAATACTGTAACTCAGGAGTATGACAGATGGCTGGGGTTTAACATGGGTCACATTTTTCAAAGTGCAGAGTGTTAACCTCAACCACGCAGGCCTGGAACTTACTCTTCCAATCATCAAAAAGCAGTCTCGACACACTGCTTAAAAATAGCAAAGCGCATACTGGAGGGAACACTGAGTAACACCCCACCACCTGACACTGTCCCGCACTACAGTGACTGCACAGCTCAAACGCCTTCTTCCAGTCTTGCTCTTAAAGCTGGACTAAAGTCTCAAAGGCAGAGGCAACACTTTCCAAATCTGTGCATTTTAATGCACTGTGTGTAATGTGATGTACTGATTTTACCTCAAAAGCCAACAAACCCCTAAAGTATGGGGGATGGTTCCTTTCTTGTATAACATAAATAATACCAAGCAGAAAACAGATTTCTGATTTCAGACACAACCCACCAGCTTGCACAACAGATTCATGCTTTATGCTTTACCTTTTTCTCATCAGTCAGGTCAAGAGATTCAAGCTGTTTTCCCTGGTCTGCTGCATACAGTTCCAGGAGATTGTCAAAATTTGTAGTCAATACAAGGGCTCCATTTTCCATCAGATGAAGAACCGACTGCAGAAGCTGTTTTCCAGAATCTTCCATCTTTGACTCCAGGTCATCAAATACTTCATATAAACAGTCTTTGAAAAACGTGGATCGAACATTACTGGTTCGCTGGGAAGGATGTGAAAGAGGAAAATCAATCCACAATATCTTGGTAGGCTGGTTTTTTTTTTTTTTTTTTTTTTTCTGTTCCAGGGATCAAACTCATGACCTTGTGCTTGCCAAGCAGGCACTTAAGCCACTGAGCTAAATCTCCGGGAGTAGGCTGTTTTAATAATGGTGGTAACAAAGTTTTGAATGTTGCTGCACACTTGTAATCCAAGCAACCTGGAAGGCTGCAGCAGGAGGACTTCAACTTAAGGACCCACTGAGACTCTGTCTCCAAAAAAACCAAAAAAGCCAGTCCAAAGGCCCTGAGTTCAGTCCCCATACTGTGGTGGGGGGAGGTGGGAAAGAGTATTTTGTATTTAAATTAAGGATAAAACATTTAAACTCTCTAAAGAAACATTTTTATAGGAAAAAATGGGCAGTTAAGAGACATGAATTTATTGGGAATTTATTATCACGGGAGAGCTGAGATAGGAAGCACAGAGCAGAGCACAGCACCAACTACTTCTTTTTTTTTTTTTTTTTTTTTTTTTTGTCTTTTTCATTTTTATCGGTACCAGGGATCGAACTCACGACCGCCTGCCTGCAAGGCAGGTGCTTATGCCGCTGAGCTAAATCCCCAGCCCAGCACCAACTACTTCTAACAGGGCTCATGTAAGGTGACACTATTACATGTGGCCTTGTCTATGGAATAACCCTGAAGGACACCTGTATATGTAGTTTAGTATTTCTTTCTTTCTTCCCTTTCTCTCTGATTAAATGCAACAGAAGCAGTTTTATAAAATGAGGATTAAACCCCATGGCCTTTGCTCTGAACTACATCCCAGCACTTTTCTGAGACAGAAACTTTCTGTGTAGTTCAGGCTGGCTTTGAACTCACTATGTAGCCAAGGTTGGCCTTGAACTTGGGTAATCCTCGTGCCTCAGCCTCCCGAGTGCTGGGACTACCGCTGTGTGCCACCATGCTCAGCTTTTGTGTGTAAGTGCGTGGTACTGGTGATGTCATGGTCTTTGCACAGAGACATATCCCTGGCTTGCCTTGAACTTGTAATTCTCCTGTTTCAGTCTCCCAGAGGGCTGAAATTACAGGTATGCACCATCATATACAACTTAGCTTTTCTAATCCTAGGGGTTCTCTACAGCTGCTTAGAGAGTTAGAAAAACCACTTAACATCTCCCTGTCATTTTTTCCCCTGGCCGAACTTAGCAATCTGTCTGTAGATATGTAGGACACATTAAAAAGTCTGCATTTTGCAATGCTAAAATTACTAAGCTCTAATCCATTTGAAGTGGGCTGTTTTTCAGCTTCATTTCAACATGTGAATAAGTCATGCATTGCACAATGTTTTGGTCAATGAGAGACCACATCCACAAGGGTGTGCCGCCTGTGACTTCTCGGCTGTCCTAGCATAAGTATGCGGTGTCTGACATGGCCTGAAATTGCCTCCTCAGGCTTTTCTCACAGTGTATCCCAGTGTTATGTAATAACGACAGTATCTGCATCTCTGCATCACTGCTGTGTTATTTTACAATCCCAACAGCTGGGACTGAGTACAGGTACAGGACATCAAGCCCAGTTTTAGAATTAGTTCTTAAAGACTCTTTAATAGTTTCATACAAATTACAATGATCTGTGCTAAGCTGCCAGCGAGGACACACAGCTCTTTGGCTTCCCTTCTAAGTAGCACCCCTAGCTCCCTGGTTTCCTTGGTGTGTACTTCTGTAAGTGTCATGCTCAGATAGTTTTGTTTCCATGGAACCACCTACACACACTCATACAACACATCTGGATTTGGTAAACTTTCTAAAATACCGAGCTCTTTAAATCACACCTACAAACACTGTACACGAGGACGTTCCCAATGGAAGCATCGCAGCACCGTGGCAAACAGTGCTTCTGCCTGGCGAGGCATCGCCCGTGGCTTCCCGGGCCCCATCCCTTCCGCCTGGTGAGGCAGCACCTGCAGCTTCCCGGGCCCCATCCCTTCCACGCTGCATGCGCCACTGGAACACAGGCTTCTTGCTAAATCCTGCTGTCAGCAGGTCAGAGAATTTTCTTGTGGAAAACAGATGAAATAATTCATAACTTATGTAAGTGGTTAAGAAAGTGGGTTTATCCTCCAAGATTTACTATCCATTCTCATTACAAAACGGCCCAATTATTTACATCATGTATCCACAGCGCACAGGCACCAAGTGGGGAATCCAAGAGGATGGAATCGGATGAACCACCTGATCAGAAACAAATGGTGAAGAATTCCTGGTGCCTCGAGTTACTGAGTTCCACCACTCACAAGGAGTCAAGTACTACTGAAGACCAGGTGCCTTCCTGCTTTAATCTTCGTCACACTCACAAACTCATTTACCCTAAAATCTAGTGATTGCATTCTGGGAATGTATCTCACAGATACATTTGCAAAGAAGCAAAATATGTAAGAGTATCACTGCTGTTATTTTAAAACCAAAGAACATAAACAAAACAGGTACCCATATGTAGGTGACTGTTATAGCCCAGTACCCATCGTACAGTTTGGATCATTTGGAAAAACATTTTTCAATGTTTTATGTAGCTGATGGGGCTGGGGATTTAGCTCAGTGGCATAAGCGCCTGCCTTGCAAACAGGCAGTCGTGAGTTCGATCCCCGGTACCGATAAAAAGCAAAAAAAAAGACAAAAAAAAAAAAAATGTTTTATGTAGCTGGGATCTTGAATGTCTCCCATAGGCCCAAGCAGCGAAGGCTGGGATCACTGGGAGCCAGTCCGGAAGCTGAAGGGGTTTATGAGACCCTGCCCTTCTTCCCTACCATGCCCTGCTCAGGACAGAAATGGTTCCGTTCTACTGCATGCTCCTGTCAGGACAGACTGCCTTCAGCACAGGGTCGAAACATTGGGACAACTGACCACAGGGCCAGAATAAACCTTGTCTTTGTCTTTCTGAGACAGGGTCTCACTATGCACTTCAAGCTGGCCTTGAGAGCACTTTGTAGCCCAGCTTGCACTTGCAAGGACCTCCTGCCTCGGCTTCCTGAGTGCTGGGGTTGCAGGCAGTACCATCACATCTAGCTTGAATAAATCTTTTTTCTCATGAGAAGTGAATTCTCTTAGCAAACACTCCAGACATGAGAATGGTATGGATGATCTCCAGGGTACGCTGGTAGGTAAATGTCTAGACTGCTACCAGCGTTGGGAGACAGCTTTACCCTCCTCCCTGTATTTGCAGAGGGAAATCCTGGAAGGACACATAAACACCATGCGAGCAGTGACTCACGGCAGGGGAGTGTGTGACAGAAGACAGACACCCAGGGACGGCAGGAAGACGCCTCAATCAGCGCCAATCTTTCTACCTGCTTTTAATTTCTGTGCTGTGTGTAAACGGCTACTCAAAAAAAAAAAAAAAGGCAAGGCTGCATTTGAAATTCAATACAGAACACAAGGAATTCCTCCTCTCTTTCCTACTGAGGACTTTCTTGTGTTTCCTAACTGCATCTTGAACCCTGACTCACACTCAGTCCTACACCAGTCTCCTCATTACACACGTACCCAGGTAAACAGGCCTGGCTAGACAAGCAGGCTGTCACAGCTGTGCAGTACATTTTCTTGCTTCTAAGAAAAAAAATACAAAAGGCTTATTAAACTTGAGAATAAATTTCCTGAGTCGCTTTTTATTTAGAGGTGAAGTGTATGTGAGAAAGTGGAAGTGAAGAGCGAGGGAGCCCGGGTGAGCCTGGGCCGAGGAAAGCGCAGCCGGGGACAGCAAGCTAACAGCACCTGCGGAGCTACGAGGGGTTCCTTTACACAGCCTGGAGTGCTGTTTTTCTGAGTTATTAAATCGCAGATATCAGACAAGACAGCTCTGGTAGCAGCGCTGATTTCTGCAGGTCTGCAGTGACCACTGTTCTCACAGGGTCTCACCGGTGACCTTGATGAGCAAACACAGCGGAGTGGAACACCCAGGGAGGTTCGGAACTCAGGGAAGGCCACACTCCCACGGCCTCCGAGGACCTTTCCCTCTCTCCGAGGCCAGCGCCGCTCCATCTCCCCCTGCACTGGCTGGAAACCCAGACTTCAAATCCCACACATGGGGAACAGTAATCGCACCTCTTCCTCCCCCAAGGTCAACACTTCTATCATTATTTACCGTCATTCCTTTAAGTAAAACTTGTGCTTGATGACGAGAGGTGGCCGCTTCATCCCCCAGCTGGAATAACCACTCAAGTGTCACCACTGCCCCTTGTCCTTCTCAAAGCCCTGTGAGGCGGCAGCCGCCCCTTTCTGAGGATCCAGCCCAGGGCCCTGTGCACACTGGGCATGAGCTCTGTCACTGCTCACCTCCCTGGTCCCTCTCCCAGGCTTCTGTGCGTGAGACAGAACCCAGACTCAGGTTGCAATGACTCGCCTGGGGGCCCAGCATGTGTAAGCAGCAGGGTCTTTTTAACTGTGAAGCCCAAGCTCTTTGCCCTGAATCTACAATGTCCATTCTCTGTTCTAAGGAACTGATCAGCAGGTGGGCTGACCCTCTGTAGCACTGCTGTCTGATATGACTCCCTTTAAAGAGAAAAAATGAAACAAAATTTCAAAACAAGGTAGTAAGAGAGAAGCCATGGTTAATACATCACTATTGTTATCTTTAAATTCGTTACTCAGAGTACAAGACTATAGGCATTTCATTGTCCAAGGAACATGAGCACAAACCTTTCTTCTCAATGAACTATAGAAGAATAACTGTCATAATTTTTTTGAGACAAGGTCCTACTATAGCAGGCTGGCCTTGAACCTGCAGTGATTCTCCTGCCTCAGCTCCCAAGTCTTATGATTATAACTGTGCGCCATGATGTCCAGCAAAATCAAAATGATATTCACAAGCATGTTAAGACAGTAAGTGTCTTCCAAACGTGTTGATATTTGCACAGTGGTGCAAAAGCAATGGTGACCAAAGGCTGGTGCCTTGGTGTGGAGCCAAACTGTGTGTGCTCACCCATAGCTCACCTCCAAGACCTCGACAG